GAATCCCAGGGAAAAGCAGGGAATGCTGCATCCCAAGGAATGTGAGAACTTGGGAAAAGGTTTCTCCAGGCAGGGAATGAGCCCTGGAATCCCAGGGAAAAGCAGGGAATGCTGCATCCCAAGGAATGTGGGAATGTGGGAAAAGGTTGGTCCAGACAGGGATTGAGCCCTGGAATTCCAGGGAAAAGCAGGGAGATGCTGCATCCCAAAGAATCCTGGGACAAGGGTTTGGAAAAGGTGTCTCCAGGCAGGGAATGAGCCCTGGAATCCCGGGCTGGAGCCGCCGCATCCCAAGGAATTCCCTCCCCCGTGTCCAGGTGGTGGCCCTCACCCTCCTGTTGGCCTCGGGAGAGATCCTGGAATGCTCGGAGGCGGCGAATCCCGAGGTTTTCCAGGCGGCCCGGCTGCACTTGGGCTGCCTGGGAATCGTCCTGAGCGTCACCTTCCAGTGCGTCCCGGAATTCCGGCTGCGCGAGGTGGCCTTTCCGTCCACCCTGCCCCAGGTACGGCCGGGAATTTCCCGGGAATGAGGCCCGGGATGAGGGCGGGAGGCGGGAAAATCCCGCTGGATCCTTCCCGGGAGTCGCCATTCCCGGAGGGATTTCCGATCCCTGTGGATGTGGCCCTTGGGAACACGGATCCGGGGTGGCCTTGGCAGTGCTGGGAGTGGTTGGATTCCGTGATATCCAAGGGATTTTCCAACCTGAAGGATCCCCAAGGATCCTGTGCCATCCCGGCACTGTCCCAGCTCCCCACAATTCCCTGGAAGGAAGTTCCAGGAGGTCCCCAATTCCCAGGGAATGAGGGACAGGAGGAGAGGGAACGGCCTCATATGTCCCTCTAAGCTCAGGTGGAATTTTGGGAACAATTCCCACATGGAAAGGGCTGTCAGGCCCTGGAATGAACTTCCCAGGGCAGGGCTGGAGTCGCCATTCCCGGAGGGATTTCTGATCCCTGTGGATGTGGCCCTTGGGGACAGCGACATTCCATGATTTCCCAGCGTCCTTTAAGCTGGAAACCCCTGGCTTAAACTCCTTCCCTGCATCCCTTAACACCTCCTTTGGATCCCAGAACCCTTCCCTGCATCCCATAACCCTTCCCTGTATCCTTTAACCCCTTCCCTGTCTCCCATAACCCCTTCCCTGTCTCCCATAACCCCTTCCCTGTCTCCCATAACCCCTTCCCTGTCTCCCATCCCACATTCCCTGTATCCCATAACCCTTCCCTGTATCCCAGAACCCTTCCCTGTATCCCATGACCTCTTCCCTGTATCCCATAACCTCTTCTCTGTATCCCAAAACCCCTTCCCTGTATCCCAGAACCCTTCCCTGTCTCCCATCCCACATTCCCTGTATCCCAGAACCCTTCCCTGTCTCCCATCCCACATTCCCTGTATCCCAGAACCCTTCCCTGTATCCCATCCCACATTCCCTGTATCCCACAACCCTTCCCTGTATCCCATCCCACATTCCCTGTATCCCAGAACCCTTCCCTGTA